TATGTGCATAAGGAAACGAATGGCACATACGTTGTTTTTAAACCGGGCCAGAATTTATAGTTCCAAATTGCAAAATGCAGTCCAACTAGAACCGAGATTCCGGTCCTTGCTGCCATAATTTGGCAACACCGCCGGAAACTTAGTGTACTCGTAAGTTACTGGTACTGTCATTAGCAAATCAATCGAGTTTTGGACACCGCACCGCGGATCAAGTTAATCAGAGAGGTCAGACATACAATTTTTGACTAAAACTGCAAATTTACATGTTTATTCCGTCAGATTTTAAATTTTAAGGGGTGTTTCAGAAAGGTTATTTCACGGGAAAACCAATGGAACCACTTTCAGAACCTAAAAGTTTCGTATAAACGGAGTTTTAAGCGTTTAAATTTCCCAAATATTGTCCGACCTCTCCTATGGACTCGACCCACTCTGCGCCGAGATCGCAAATCTCTGCTCCGCCTGCCAAGCTTTCCAAGTTAGGGATATTCCAGAGAGGATTTTTCATCTTGCGATTCATGGTTCCCTAATCAAGGAAAAGTCTGAGGGTGAATTTTCCTCAAACCAAGCTCCAGAGTGCTCTAGAATTGATCAATGGCTGAAGTGCGACACCACGTATCTCCATTGCGATATCTCCAATCCTCCAATCCTTGTTTCTCCTTCGGATGAGGAACAAATCAAATTTGTAGTTTGGTCTTGATACAGAATATTCTTAGACAGAGAAGAAAATTCAAGGAAGTTTTCACGAAATTACGTCGATCAGTTTTCCAGGGACGAAATAAAGTTTGACTCGGAGTCAGTAACGTCGCAAACGGAGATATGCGGTGTTGCACTGTAGCCATCAGTGGATACTATTTGATGCATCAAACTCGAAAAATTGTATCGATATCGATTGGTTCAACATGTAAACGTAGCCTCAAAAGTCAATTTAGTAATCTGAGGGAACGGGATTTTTTGTGATAGATTTTCGATTCTCATGAGTACAAAATGGCAATGAAAGGTGAAATTGTTAGAAATGTTCTCATTTTCAGCTTTTTCAACTTAAATCCTAAAAGTTCAGTTTGAGGTTATGTTACGTTGCCTTGAACCAAACGATACATCAAACCACTATCGAATACGATCCATACGATCTATATTGTCTCTTTTTATGCTCGGGTTTAACCGCGTATTAGCAAGACGAGACAACAAAGCCGTGAAATGCGAATGAATCAGCGCGATGAGCAGCGTTGTCAAGCAGCATCTCGACACGATCCCGTGGAACCTACGCGCGTGGAAAGTTCGACGCGGTTTCCTTGGCAACGGCGCACAGTGGATCGAGTCGAACAGAGAGGTCGGACATGAAGTTTTTTACTAACACTGCAGATTTTGATGTTTAATTTCTCCTTTTTTAAATTTTAAGGGTTCTTCCAGAAGAAAATTTCACGAGAACACCAATGGAACCACTTTCAAAATCTCAAATTTTTGATTTAACGGAGTTATAAGCGTTTAAAGTTTCCAAATTTTGTCCGACCTCCCCCATTGATTCGATCCACTGTGCGGCGGTAATCCGTGGTGCTCGAAGCGCGACATTACCTAATTTGCCACTAAATTCGAATCTGGTTCACTCGCCGCGCAGCGCCGCAGCGCCGCGGGATCGGTGATTGAGCGAATGACAAGAGACCGGTGCCCCGCGCTGCGCCGCGACGCGACCGAGGGTTATTATGCAAACCGGTTCACAATTCACTCGGTTGCCTGTATTAACTTTCACTTGTTCACAAAATGAATGACGCGCCGCGACAGGGGCCGTCCGACAATGCGACACACTGCACGCGGCGTCGTGCCGCGGCGCAGCGCCCTCCGAGATTTCGCTCGTCGCGCAAAATTGCACCGCGAAAAGCTCCGCTCATACCATCAATGATCTCCAAAAACTTGAAGTTTCCAGAAAGCCACATGATTTCGTAACATTTTCACGAAACAGCTTGTCAGCGGGCCGATTATTGAAATTCATAGACAAAGCTGTAGACAAAGAAAATGAAAGGGATATGGAGGAATCCTACACGGAGAGAGAAAATTTGTGCATGGGACCCGAAGTTGAGGTCGTATGGATCTCTGAAGTTTTCGGATCGCGCATCCAAAAACTTGAGGTCCAACTGCCGAAGTTCGGGTCAGATTTCTGAAGTACTTAGGTATATACCGGATACTTCAGATAGGTGACCCGAGCCCTTCGGTATGTACTTAAGTACTTCAGATGTCTGACCCGAACTTCGGCAGCTGGACCTCAAGTTTTCGGATGCGAGATCCGACAACTTCAGAGATCCATATGACCTCAACTTCGGGTCCCATGCACGAAGTTTTTTTTCTCCGTGTAATGGTGGAAGCGAGTAGTTGCGATAGACAAAGGAGGTAGGTAATAGACTAACTAACAACGACCCGCGAGAGACGCTATAGTTTGTCCATCATTTTCTCCCTCACTCCATAGGAACCTTGCATTTAACCAAAAGAATCGCTCCATACTCCCTGTGTCTTCTTTGTCTATCAATTTCAATAATCAGCCCGCTGGTATGGGCATGAGCAACGGATGTCAGATGATAGGTTGCCTAAGAAGGTTCTAGAGTGGGTCTCCCCTGCCAGAAAACTTAGAAGACGCCCTGCCAAATCGTGGATTAAGAGGAAAAAATAAGGAAATGAGGAGATGCGATCTGCCGGAGGAACTCTGGCAGGATCGCGATTAGAGTAAAAGTAGTAGGAAATGAACCGAACAGCGTCCAAGCGGGAAATTTTAGATAGAATCGGCTCAGATTGCAAAGACTTTTTGCCGCTGCATCAGATTGTTTTATATGTTGCCTATTCACTGATTGAAGGGGCACTGTTTTTTTTAAAATTCACCGACTGCGATAAAATTGAAATGTTGCAATTTTCCTGCGGATTGGAAATTGTCTGTCTTCCTTACACAGATGGCTCCTCGTAATGATATTTTTAATTCGTTATTTATTAATAAAATTACATAATGCACAAAATTGAACCAACTTGGAAAAAAACCTATGGAGGGAAAGCAATTGTGAAAAAAAGGAAGTGAGAGTAAAATTTTCAAGAAATCTGAAAAAGTAAGGTTAAAAATTGGAAAAACAGGGTGACAATTTGGACAAGACAGCAGAAGATATTGTTTTAGCAGAAAATAATGCGATTTACCGCTGTTGGTCTGCGATGACGCCAATTACAGCACATTTACGTCTCATTTCTCTGGAAGCTTCTGTAAACCTCCCTTAATCACACTTTCAATATGAGCCTCCCTATGGAAGGATGCTATTTATGGAGCACCTTTAGGTACAGCTCTGGACTTTGTCGATGATCCACTGCAAGGAGAGGAGTAGAACAATTGTTACCAAGTCGATTTTTGGGTAAAGGTAATCGAGGTATCGGTAGCATTCACTGGGGGTGGAAGCTATGAATCAAAATCATAGTATTTTTTACCAAGTCTTTGATTTTTTTATCCAAAGGTTGATTCGAATTCATAATTAGAACACTAATACTAGTCATAGTAAAATTTATTTTACTATTTTTCTCGTAAAAATTTTCATGTTAATATCTGCAGATCAAGGCACAAGCAGTAGCTTTTCTCGTTTTATGGGTATTTTTACCTTACTAATATGAGCTGATCACTATACTAACTTAGGGTCGAAAATACGTTCGGAGGTCAATGAGGCTTTCATATCCCACAGTAAAGGGCGCTTGCCACACTTTTTCGTAGGTGCTACCCAGCGTCATTATTATTTGTTGATGTTCTATGGCTCCTCATACAGGGTATAGTGTACTATGCACTACCTTAAATACGCAGAGCAATGATCATTTTCAAACCAAATCCACTGAAATCAAAAGGAGGGAGTAAATAAAAAAAAAAAAAAAAAAAAAAAAAAAAAATCAGCGCCACTCTGACATTGTTGGATTTCATATTCCTGATAATTGTTTTCTTAATGAATGGCAAGGGTCCAAAAAGTCCTGTTTATTATGAAAACCCGAGTATTGTGGAATTTTCCGCAGTTTATTCCGCATCATAAAGACTGACAAGAAGTATTGCTTCTCGCCCTAGTGATCAAATACGGGAGCGTTCATAAATCACATCACGCAGTTTTTCAGCATTTTTGACCATGCACCCGCACCCTTCCTCCCTTCATGGAACGCTTTTGTGACGTAGGTCCTCATCTTTTCACACTCGAGGTCCCGGATCCCCTCCATTTAAACCTATGCTAAATAATCGATTCTTTTTGGAGCACCTGGCCCCTCAGAGAATCGATAAATTTCCATAGGTTTAAGTGGAGAAAAGACAATGTTGTCAATGGAGAAATTGCATGTGTGAGGAATTTGTGATTTGACTACTGATTCTTATGTAAAAGTTTGCGAGAAACACGATGGTGCCACTGGTTTACTCTGAAATTAACTCCCAAGCTCACAAAAACCCCCCAAGTTGAGGCCAAAATGGAGGGGATATCCCACGCTATGCTGAGAGTCCAGCTCTACATCAAGACAAACTCTCCTGATGCAAAGATAGGGAGCAAATATATTAGCAGGGTTGCCGTGTCTTCAGTTGTGGAGTCCCCAAATATAGTGGCAGCCCTGTCAACGTATTTGCTCCCTATCTTTGCATAGAGAGTTTGTATTGACGTAGAGGGGGGCTCTCAGGATAGCGTGGGATATCCCCTCCATTTTGGCCTCAACTTGAGAGCTTTTTTTAGCTTGGGAGTTGATTTCAGAGAAAACCAGTGGCACCATCGAGTTTCTCGCATGAAAATTTTACATGAATTTTACTTTTACATGAAAATCAGTAGTGAAATCGCAAATCCCTCACACATGCAACATCTCCATTTGCTGGATCCGCCAATGTCAAAGTCCATCGCTCCCCACGAAGAAAGAAGCACTCAGAATTTTCGATATTTGGTGGGTTAAATGGGAAATCTTCTGTTGGACTGCTCCACTATCAACATGTTCTCAGCCATTGATTGATGAGGTGTTAATATTTTGTTTTGCAGCGTACGGCCAGGGCTCTGGATGCCCGGAACAACACGGTGTGCAGACTTACCCTCACCCGGAAGCATGTGACCACTATTACCTATGCGTTAACGGCACTCTGTCCCTTGAACAATGTGGCAACGGTCTCCTTTATGACGGAAAGGGCGCCGTCCATGAACACTGCAACTACCACTGGGCGGTCGACTGCGGACACAGGAAAGCTGACTGTGAGTGCATCTTGCTAAAACATTTGTCTAAGGTTGAATCCATTCTCAGAGATCATTCTCCATCAATATGTTACGGATAATCTAGTCAAACCGGGTAATGTCGGCAATAATTGACATTACCCAGGCCGTTTTGGTTAGGTTAGGTTAGGTTAGGTTAGGTTAGATTAGGTTAGGTTAGGTTATAATACCCGCCATCCCACCCCTCAGTCGTCAGGGAGGGCCACAGACGGGACCGGCTGGACCTAACCTAACCAAAACGGCCTGGGTAATGTCAATTATTGCCGACATTACCCGGTTTGACTAGATTACCCGTAACAAATACATCATTGATGACTGTCACGGTTATGGGACATTTCGTCAACGATTTTTTGTCCGCACGCCTGTTTTTCCAGCAGTTTACGTCCCCGCATTTTTTCCTCAGCTATAAAGGCCCTTAAATTTTTCCTGTGTGCGATAACTTCGCGACGGTGACGGCATGCTGCGGCGCATCTAGGTACCACTTCGCCAAGTTATTAAATATGGATGCTAGGACTTTATGAGTTTTCGGACTACTTTTTTGTGCCGTAGGATTTTGATTCATTTTGCGAGGGAAGTTCCGTGCTCTTAAAGGATGCCTGTCATTCTTAATAATGTTGGAGTGCCTTCAATTTCGTATGATACTGTGCAATACCTCTGGTGTGAAATAGTTGCTTGCGGCGCCGTGGCACGCTGCGACGTGGCGGCCGGCCGGCAAGCGCAAAACGTGCATTGGCGCCTACAAACCTAACAGGGATACTTCACGCATTGCGCAATGCGTGAAGTATCCCTGTTAGGTTTGAAGGCGCCAGTGCGCGTTTAGTGCTGGCAGCACGCCGCCCCGGCCCCGCTCTGTGTTAGTTTTTAATATTTAAGCTCCCGGAGTCAGCGTTTTTCTACTCATGATTTTGAAATTTTCGCACACTCTGCATGGATTGTTCTCATTTATATTGATGGGGAAAAATATATGTAATGAAGGAAAATAGAATGAAAGTTTTGTAAATGTTAAGGTCTCCATGTCAAATTTAATGATTTACTAAGCACTTTAATTTTTTATTTTATATTTTGTGCTTTTACTTTGCTGCAACGTGGTGTACGCGCAACCAAACGCTCAAAATATTTGACGCATTTCATTCTAAAAGATCGATGTACATTGTACAAGTAGGTTAAAACTAAAGATTGCGTGCCTGTTGGCTTTTTTTCTCTTTTATTCATTTTTGTATAGTTTCTTTCGACACAATCACGGCACATTGAGATTAATATCGCTTTGAAAAGGTTTTACAAATATTTATCATGTTTTAACAATGTAAATGTTTTTAAGATGCAGTAATATTTTCATTTAAAAAAAGGCATAGATAAGGTATATTTCATATTAAAACTTTTAAGGTCTGAAATAAAACCAAATATTCACAAATGGCATTTTGAAAAGATGAATCAAAAGAAGAAAGTAACATTTCATTTAAAACATACGTTACCGTAACAACACCTCCATCTCTCTCAATTTTCTCATTTCGATATTGTCAATATAATTTTACATACAGACTAAAATATAATGCTTGGACGAAGACTTTTTTGACAAATTTGTATTGTATTTCCGACAAAAAATGACTCAGTTATGAGTCAAAACGTCTCGGGTTTTATTAATTGTGTATTTTAGCCTTGTTTCCCGTTTTTCCCTCTTGTTTTTTCACTGTAGATAGTATAACTTTTCGCCAACTATACCATTTAAAAAATTAACATCACCCTTTTTAATTTATCAGTGGTCCCAGTCAGCTCTGACGGATGCGAGTTTCAGTTCGGAATTTACCCAGCCAGCTCATCTTGCAGCACAAATTATGTGAAATGCGCTCACGGAGTCCCTCATTTGGAACCTTGCGACGTTGGATTAGCCTATGACGAGAGGATCCACGGGTGTAATTGGCCAGACCAACTACTGGAGAAGTGCAATCCTGAAGGTAATTACCCAACCAATCCGATGGATTAATTCAAGGTTGTATCTATTTTCTTGGCAAGCGGATGGAAAACATTGAGAGAGGAGAAAAAGTCACATCCTCTTGACCATGTGTTTTATTATTTATACTTACATTTCAGTTGAAAAAATAAAAAAAACACAGAAACTTAGACCAAAGTGTGCGATAAACTGCCGGAAGGAAAAACGCCGTATGAACCTTTAGGCGCTGCCAAATTTCCTTTAATAAAACGCGAATTTCCGGGTAAACTTTCCTTCCAATTTTTCAGATAATTTTGTTCAGAATTTCACCAAAAGTTTCTGAAAATTTAAAGGCAAAATATTCATAGCGTTCCTCAAAACTTAACATTTTATCGGAGGAAATTTGGCAACTCTCAAATATTTATACAGCGTTCTTCCTTAGCACGACAGTAAAAAGTTAATACACGTTTTCCCAAAAACGTAATAATGCAAATTTACCCTATGAAACATGCAATTTTAAGCTTCAAATGTGGCAAAATACTTTTTAATTTAAACTGTGATTTGCAATTTAGTTTCATGAGAATTGAAACTTTAAAAATTTATTTATTTACTCTTCAAAGGGAGCGGTTGCGGGTTTTCTCTCTTGGCTCAGCCTATTCGTAAAATAGAAACACACATTCGCGAATCCGTCAACTTGTGATAGTTAAAGTTACGTCTCGAAGTGAAACTTTGTAAGAATGCGTTCTATACATTAAGCAGACTAATTTTGATGATTAAACGTAACTTCATTATCTCTGAGAGCTTCATACTATAGGATTGATTCGCCGCTTTCAAGAAGATAAAGTAGGACATGGAATTAGCAGATTTGTAAAATGGATTACGTTACTCCTCCTTGTTACCAAACCTTCATTGTTGATGGTCATGGAATTTGATTCATCACGCTTTTGCAGTCACATTTCACATTTTTTTCGTGTATAAATCAAATGACTTAGCTAAGGTGGGCTTCAAATGAGGCACAACGATGCTTGACTGAAAAAATACAAAGTCTTTTAAATATCGTGATATGTGATCCCACGCGTGAGAAAAAATTAAAGAAAGTCGTTCTGCCACCAAGAGTGGGTGGCGAAACCGCGTATCTAACAATGTGACGGATATGACATATCAGCTGTTTTTAATGGAGAATCATGTTCACGATGCACTCTTAAAATTTCAGAGTTTTGATCAATCTTTAGGCAGTGTTAGATTGCATAACATTAATTCAGTATTAACTATACTAACAATAAATGCACAAATAAATGAGGAAATAGGTATCGCTGATAAAAATATTTGTGCTCTTGTGTAACGTTTGGTTAATTTAGGAAGTGAAACACAAAACAACACAAATTTCGTGTTAATTTTGATATAGTTCGCGGTGAATTTAGCGCAAAATAATGGAAAGACTGGGAAATTGCATTCCTCCGATCGCAACGTTGGTATTTACCACTAGTTTTTTTATTGAATTCCCTCAAGAAATCTAGCTGGAATTTTCTCTTGAAATTGTCAACCGAAGGCTAGGGTTATTTTTTGTTTTACTTCCTGTATTACCTAAACGCTAAGTAGATCACACTAGAGATAATATTACATTCCTGATGATATGGCGAGGAGGAAGTGCGTTCTGTTGTACAAGTTCATTTTACTCTAAAATCCTTTAAATTTTGCGTTTATAATTTAGACGAGTGAAATATGCGGTGATTTGCTCATGTGCATGGAAGAAACTACTTTCTGCGTCGAAAATTCGTGTTGGATGACGTCATATCCTCGTATGTTTTTCTAAATGCTTTTCTCTCATTCATCATATTAGTGAACGTAGATACTTGGTGTTTGAGATGATCACACTTTTTTTTTATACCAGTGCTACATACCAGTGATCATCAAAACAGCAAACTCGTTATCGTTACGCATATACACCACAGAGTACATAGAGTCGTAATGTAAATGGGAGAGCCGGCGCCATGTTCTGCTCGACGAATTCCGCGCCCGGTGTGCGCCGAGTTCGGGTCGCTTTTTCGATACATTTTCGATCCAAAATGGCGGTGTGGAATACGTGGCAATTCCTATCTCCTTTGTTGTTGTTGTTGTTGTTGTTGTTGTTGTTGTTGTTGTTGTTGTTGTTGTTGTTGTTGTTGTTGTTGTCATCGGATGGCCGGGTACCCGTGTATCGCAAACAATCGATTGTGTATCGAAAAAAAGACCCGGCGTCACACAGGAGTCTCGGAATTCGGGACATGGAAAATGCTTAAAAGTGGCGCCAGCTCTCCCAATTACATTACGACTCTATGTACTCTATGTATACACCTAATAACTCTCGCTTTGTTTTCGCTTTGTCATCTAATATTATCTCCAATCATTTAGAATAATAACTACATGCATTTATACGACCGATCCTCTATTTTGGACGAGTTTCATTTTATCTCGTATGATTTGCAGGAGTGATCGGCTTCAAGTGCCCGACCGAAGTGGACCCTCACTCAACCCAGGCCAAATTCTGGCCTTACCCAAGATTCCCCGTGCCCGGCGCTCCTGACCGCCTTATCACCTGCGTTGACGGACACCCAAGGATCAACACATGCGGAGATGGAAAACTTTTTGACGAAAGCTCCTTGACCTGCTTAGATGACGAAGAGTTGCACGAATCGAAATAGTAAGTATCTCACTGAAAAAAAAATCACCGTGTTGTTACTAAGGAAAGGGTAAAATTACCAAGAAATGAGGGTTCTATTTGATCCCAGTTTTTTCTTGGTAAAATTATCATTTATGGAATTGGTAATTTTACCGAGAAATCACGGTAAAATTATTGAACTTTGTCGGGAATTTTACTGGACTTTGGTAAAAACGCCAATATTTTTTATCGACTGTGGTAGAATTACCGAGATAAAATGGCTGAGTTACCGAGAATTGATTACCAATAAAAGTGGTATTCTTACCTGAAAAAAAAACAGTGAAAATACCGGTTTTTAGGTAAGCTTACCAACTAATTTTAAAATTTCAAACTAATTTTTTAATGCTTAACAACTGGAATTTGGTAGCGAATTGTTTACAAAATATGCATTAACACTAGTTGGATTGCATTTTGCAAAAAGGAACCACTAGCATTGCCATGATGCTAAGATTGTGCAACTTCATCCTATGCAATAAAATTGCAGAACTTGTGAAAAACTATGAAATTTAGATGGTAATTTTTGTCTTAAATTTACAGTTTTTAGCGAGTGAAATAGAAACTATTAAGGGATAATCAGGTTTTTCCTTCAAGACAAAAGAAGTTGCACAATCTTAGCAACATTGCAATGCTAGTGGTTCCTTTTTGCAAAATGCAATCTAGTTGTACTTGAAACCATTAATGTCTCATTTTTTTTCAAAATCTGAAGATATGCGCCTTGTCCTCCGAGCCTCTCAATTAAGATCATCAAGCGTATTTTCCCTCAATTGGATCCTTATAAGCCCTCTGGTCAAAATTGACGAAGTAACAACGATATTTTAGAGGGAACACAAAATTAAAATTATCCCTTCGTGTACCAAAGAAAATATTTTCTCGCCATAATTTCGGAAAGTTAACGCACGCAATTTCTCGACTTCATTAGAGAATCATTTTATAGTTCCTAACAATTTCAATGATTATTTCTTGGCGTCAGTTGCGGTTTTTTTGCGACTTTAAGATGGTTGATTTTTATTCATTTATTTTTAAAATAATTTTTTCGTTGTAAAATGACAGAATTATTTTCTTTACTCACACAGGAGAGAAACTTATAGTAAGTATAAGTATCCTCTTCCGAGTTTTTAGGTAAAATAATGATCCTTAATTATGTTCTATGTTTCAGCAACAACTTGCAGTGAAAAAAAACACAGCCTACTCCCTCGTTACAGAAGAAGTAGCTATGAATAATACGAACTTAAAATCCACAAAGTATTCTTTTTCAAAGCACAGAGATATGTTTACAGCGACCGACGGGGAGCACTTACAGGATCATCATCCATGGTATACCTTTGGAAAGCCTTTTTGGGGGTATCATTGCGTAATTGTTTGTAAAAACGAGTGTATAGTTTCTAGAATAGTTAAATTTTTGTGCCTTTAAATATTCCATCATAGACTGTACAATGTATTTCAAATCAAAATAATTCCAATGGAAAAAGTCTGGATACATTATTAAAAAGTTCAACCTTACAGTATCAATTTGTGGATATCTGAGATACTTTTGTTTTAGAAAGTATTGAAGTCTTCACATGACGTGTTCAAGTAATTAAGGTTCTTTACAAGACAGCAAAATTTCAAATTGTTTAATCTTAACAACTGTTTTCAAATCATTCAAAATTCACAAAAACGCTCAAATTAATGTCGAAAATAAATACATTGTTTTTCGTATTAGTTTTCTAGTTTTTCCTTTTTCCTTACTTCATAAACACGACACATTTCTTATTTCTTTTATTTTTGGATTCTACGCTATCAATTACTTTTAATAAACACCAACATATATTTAAAAAATACCCGACTAATCTGACCACAGATTAAATTGACTTGATGAACTTGAATTTTTATTATCAATACTGTGAAAATAAGTTCAAGAGGATAAAGTTGCGCGCAGTTTTGAGAAAGAAGAAACATCATGAAATTTCTGATATAGCCAAATATATATATATATAAATAATTACATAACCAGAGAATGAAAGCTCAAACTTGCAAAGGTATACTGGTCCACTAACAATAAGTCAAAGTAGAAATCTTGGCTTCGCGCAGCGTCACGGAGGGGCTACAAAACGCCTTCATTTCAGTAGTTATGCTACATCGATCGCATGCTGCGTCTGCACTAATTCATGCGTTTACATTGATAAAAGTCATCAACTCTCCCGTTCAAACAGTTCCTGCGTCGATTAACGTTTCGTTTTTTCTTCCTGTCCTTTAGAGTATCCGTAGGTTTTAACCATAACTCATTCATTCGTTTGAATGATGCACAGTTTTTGCGGAATTGTTGAACTTCATAGCGCACCGCACCATTGAGAGGTCTGTTATTTTTTGATGTGCCAGCTTTCTATTATTTTTAACTGTAATAAGAGCGAGCACGGACATTCTAGTTTTGAGTTAATGCCTCGTAAACGCAATCTTGCCAATAATGAGTGAATTCATGCACTGTTTTTGAAAGAGGTGGATTTTCAGAGCAACCTCCAGAATATTTTATTACATCAAAATAATTTAATCTTATTAGTGAACAATAAATATCAATTTCGCCCGGAAAGATCTTACACATTTTTGGAAATGAGAAAATTTAAAATATGGTCTCAAGCTTTGCATCAAGCTTCTGATCTTTTCAGAGAGGCTGTCGTAAAATTAATATGCTCGCAATAAAACTTTGCTAACCGCACCAGCCATAAGCAAGATATTAGACCAAAATATGAAATCAAGAGGAATCACACATTTTATCACTATCGCGCCGTCCTTGATATGCAAAACCATCCACTCCTTTCAACAAAAAAAAGAAAAAAGGCGTTGGTAAACTTTTGGATGTGAAATTAAACCCCATTAAAAAATCATGTTCGCTAAAACTAAATTAAGCTCCGTGTATATGATGTGAATATAAATCTGTTAAACTTTATTTTTCTAGTTACACACGTGGGGTAAAAATAGAAAGCTCCTTTTAAAAGATAATGGTGACATTATCTTTCGGTCAAATATTATGATTTATCAAAATAGAAATAAACTGGAACAACTTTTAAAACTGGTTTATTCTTAACTTTTTATTTAAAATCTACCTACTTCACACGCTGTATAAAATTAAATAGGACTATCTACAGTTACCATTTTAAAAAGTTCTAAAAATTGTAGTAAAAATTGTACAAGTCTTTAATATCTTTTAAAATTACATAAACATTTTCAAAGGTAAAAATGAAACAATAACTTACATTTCAAATTATAATGAGCTCGACAATTTGCCTTTAAGTTAAGAAAGTAATGAATTCGATGAGGACAATGAAGAAACACAGTAGAAGCTCTAGGGATGAAATATTGTATATAAAGTATAGAAAAGATATGTATATTACGACATTAATGTTTTTTTCATGGCCATATGGGACATTCATCTTAGATTTGCCTGCTATTATATTTGTATTCAGTAGCTTCAGATTACTTCTCAATACTGATAAAGAGTAAAAATCAAATTCTCTTTCATACTGATTACAGAAAGATTTCAATATATTTAGACTATAATGTTACATCTTTTGGAAGGAGGTGATAATCAGAGGCAGTGAGGTAGAATCCAAACATCAATTAAAAGTTTTGAAAGCTTGCAGTTTCCTATTATTAGAACTTTGTAGTTATACTTAATTTTCAATGTAACTTACTATCGTTTCAAGTGAAAATGCAACAATTTGCTTGATTATACTAAAGGTTTTTTGAATTTGCGTTGAGCGATGAAACATTTGAGACGTGAAAACGGAGACATCTTCCATTGCAGTGGGCTGATGATAAAATTGGTTGGAAGGAGACAATGGGTAAATTGAGCCATCTTATTGGCTGAAACGTACGATTCCATAGACTAAGAGGTAAAATGATGGACTAACTATAAATGACCGTGTGAGTTGCCGTTAGTTAGTCTTCACCGATTTGTCCATTGCAAGCACCCGCCTCCATCAATAATAGAAATGCTTCATTTTCTCTGTCTCTCTTCTGTCTAAAGCTTTTTCTATCAATTTCAATAATCAGCCAACCGATGGCAATTTTAAGGAGTCGGCGTTTCTTTCTACTGACAGTACAACATTATATTAACTGCAACGAGAATGTAATGAATTAAAAAATATCAAAAATTAGGTGGTTCAAAAATTCAAGATTTGGCATGGCAAAAACTTTTCAATTGGTATTGCTCAGACCATTGCCTTTAACTAAAGTAACGTAATTTTAAAGACCAATCATAGGAAAAATCAAGAACTGACAATGAGATGCTATGTATTACATTCTGTATATAGGTACTTTTTGAAAGTCTCGCAAAAGATTTGGTATGACTTTGTGTCTAAGAAATTTTATCTTTTATTGTACCCAAAATTTTTCTCAAAGCATGAGTTTAAAATCAAAAAGTATAATTTAACGACTCCTAAACGAAAATCAATGTGTGCCCAGATTAATTTGTCTTTGGCTGAATTTACTTTTTTCTCACAGTTTGCGAGACTGCAGTTGCGGATTGAGCGACATTTTATTAATCAAATGTCACAAATGAATGAGGGATGACCAAAATTAGCCTGTTTTTAGGTAAAGCTAACTCCCTTATGAAGTGTCATCAGCTTATTTTATATCGACTTATAAATACCTACGTCGGGGTGACAGAGTGGGGTGAAAATCATTGGATGAGATTCGTCTGGACGATCGGAGTGCTTCTATGCAACACGCATCAAGCTGGCGAGTGATCGTTTCCTGCAGCTTGGTTTTACAAAAATAGAACCAATCGTCTCACGTAGTGAAAGACTTTCCGACCCCCGTAAAAATTTGATTCACCGAGTCTCAGTTTGAAACCTTTTGGAAAAGGGAGAAATATCACAGGCTTAAAATTGGTAACCAGCCTGTTTAGTTCCTATTCCTGAAGCCTCCTTGGTTCTGTTGGAAGTTTTGAGGTTGCTCGAATTGGCGATCCTCCCGCCTTCCAGCCTGTGGCTGGTACTGCTGCTGTTGGTATTGCGGCGTGGGTGCGAACTGCTGTTGCTGAGGCTGGAACTGCCTGGCTTGCGGCTGGGATTGAGGTTGGGGTTGGGGTTGGTACTGCGGCTGGTTTTGCTGCCGCTGCTGCTGGGGCTGGTTCTGGAACTGCTGTCCCCTGGATGGCTGGGGCCTCGGTGCTTGCTCTTGCTGGCCGCGCTGTTGTTGCGGGGGAAGGTTTTCCTCCTCGTCCAATTCCTCAGGGCTAGGCGCCGGGGTAGTGGGAACTTCGCAGTCTTCAGTTGGAGGCACGACGCACCTCAGAGATCTCTTGTCGAAAACGAGCATGGCTGGGCATCTCTGCAGACGAGGGTAGCCACCTTGGCACTGCCAGTACCTGTTACATGACTTGCCTAAAGGCACGTTCCCGTTGGCGTCTTCGTTACATAGGGCTGCAACAAAAAAGAAAGGTAGGTAACCATTTAGTTTTTCAGATTGTTTAATCGGACCGCGTTTAACAAAACGGAACCAAGCCACATCAGCTATTGCCAAATTTAACCGGGCAATTTAATTTTTCACGAGAGAACGTTTATGTGCATGGATTCCTTTGAAAATTTTAAGGAATCTGCTTCGCACTACGGAGAAAATCCACTCAAATTTGCACGATCCTATGTAAAAAATTAAATTCGGCAATAGCTGATGTGGCTTGGTTTCTTTCTGTTTAACGCGGTCTAATTTACAAAAATTCCAAAAACAGCCGGGTTTACGGACTCTTTCCTTGGAATATTTTCAAACATTAAAAAATTAAAATTTGTAAACAAGGCCTTGAAGTCTAATGTTGTTGTGCAGATTAAAAGTTTAAAAATTGCAGATTTACATAGCTTAACTTAAACTTTTATTATAATATAAGTAAAGATCGATAAAATATTTTTTTTTTATTTTAATACCAAGAGGTCAGGAATAAAGGTTGATGACATTCGTATCTCACCATCTATAAACGAACCTCGCCTCGTTTCTGAAAATTGTCAACGGAATTCCTTACTCTATGGAGTGCCTTCAAAAGATTGAGTATGCAAGAAACCTTCCTTCGAGGCCCGAATAGTTATCTCTTCGCAGGCGCCCGATCAAAGTTTTTCGCTATCTCGCTCAGTATGATATGGATTGTTCAATTTTAAAAGAGTATACTTGCCAAAGCTCTTTCTGTTCTGTTATAGATTTTGATATTTAAAACAGGGAGTAAAAATTAATGGTTTTTCTAATGATACGATTGAAACTAGAGGCTTTTATTTTATTTTATGAGTTCCACAGCAATTTGTAGTAGAAATGGCACCATTTTAGACGTCCCGAATGTTCATTCTCCGCCACATTTTTATGTAGGAATATATACCACGCCAATTCCCGTTTTTTTGTCATCAATTCTTCTACTTTCAATAAAATCTTCCGAATTCCATCTTGTGCAATTCTGTTGGTTTGCAAAATGTTTCTACGAATCTGGGTGTTTTCTTGACAATTTTAAAACTATCTCTTGCGGCAAAAAAAGTGAATAAATAAATAAAGAATAAATGAAAATGAAGTAAGACCCCAAAGCTGTAATAATTAGTAGTATTATGAGGACTTAATGGTAGCCGAATATGGCATCTGTTTTTTCCAGCGTATCTAAGTTATGTGGTAAGGTAATGACCATCTTCAGGTATTCAATTTTATATCATAAAATTCCTAATTGTACTTACGATGTTTTTGGCATCCGTCTACATTTTCGGGCCAGTCACACGAGTGGGTGTTTTCGTTATAGAGGAGCCCTCCGATGCAAAGCTGCTCAGTTGCCGTTCCATTCCAGCAAGTCCAATAGCGAGTGCATGAAGTCTCGTGACCAAAGATTCCGTACAGCCAGTCACAGTGCTCCTTGCCAATTGGACCATCTAAGACAAGGATACAAATTTTAGTTGTGACTGTAAAAAAATATTGTTACTAGCCTCCCCTATTTTTCATTGCGGTTTTTGCTAAGTCTCTTTCAGAGGCTACACCAGCTCTGGCTGGTTAGGTGTATATGTAAGCATAGTAATTCTGCAGGAAAACAATAAATTCATGATCGTCATTGGTCAAGTGCGATTAATGACGTCATTCGCGCGCAATAATTAATTGATTTTCGTCAAGGAAATGCGTCATTTTGAATACATATGTCCACTTGCATCAAATTGTCCACCGTGAGTAATATTCATTCAAATTTTCAATTGATCCAAACGAAAAATACTCCCGGTAAGCGGATCTCATTAAAAGATAGTTTCCAAATCGTCATTCACATCTGCTAACTTCAAGACATTATTTACGAGCCAAAGGAGCCCCTGATACTCGATTGACAGAGGAGGAAACAATGGTAAATAAAAGTGGAAAGTTTTTTTTTTACATCATACAAGCTGTCATGTGCTTGATTACAAATCTGAAGGAATGATTCTCATTATTTTATTATGTAACACCTTTTACGAGGTGACCACAGTACTGTCTTAACCTCCACACTTTACCATTACCAACTTTCTAACATTCCCAAGTACTTGCTCCCGATATTTCATTTCTTTCCATCGCTTGTACGTACCTATATAATGACGAATATTTTTATTTTACCATTACAAAAAGTAAATTTAACTACACTGACATAATCTCAAAATAACTCACAACTTCTCTTTTAGTTAATTACCAGCATGAGATTTCCTGTGATTTTACATGTTTTTCTTTTTTAATGGACGATAAAAGTAGCTGAATTCACTCTGCACTAACATTCTACTGCAAATCCTCATTGCTGAGACACATCTACAACTAAAAGTTAATTATAAAAGAAATTGAGCTTCTACTTTTTTCCAGTTAGTGAACCTTTTAACCCCCCATATCGTCACATAACGCTAGCGTTCAGCATCTTCATCTCCTCACCTCTTACCACACTGTAACACATTTTAACCACTCACCTCATACATATTTTATGCCTGTAGGCAATATATTTTGAATACTTAACTTTAACACTGAAATTAAAAAAAGTTGGGGCGTGTCATTTATTTTCGGTATCGAAGTGAGCTATACCATGCATTTATCTATTTTCAGATATAGATTCTTAAGCACTGACAGTTATTACGCTATTCACGTGATTTGATACCTGCATAGACAGATTCAGAAACTTTAAAAGCGGGGGACGAGGGGAGGGGGGGGGGGGTCCGGAGGTCTCCCCCGAGGAAATATTCGAAATTTTAAAGCATCATTTGCGCAGTTTAAGTCAATTATGTTATGAATTATTCCAAAAGAGAAGCATCCATCCTTTCTTTTTTCTCTACGCCTCCCCTCTTCCTAATCTTCCCTCCTCCTTTCCGGCAAACGGGGGGGGGGGAGAATGCGCCCCCTACGGCCTACGTTCCCCTTGGATCCACCTATGGATACCTGAAATGTCCCTGAAAAAATTAATAATGGCAAACGCAGGAGAGGGGGTGCACACACAGTGGATCGAGTCGATGGGACAGGTCGGACAAAATTTGGAAACTTTAAAAGCTCATAACTCCGTTTACACAAAACTGCAAGATTTTAAAAATAGTTCCATTGGTTTCTTCGTGAAATTCCCTTAAAATTTAAAATGTGACGAATTAATTGATAAAAGTAGTTTTAGCCAAAAATTTCATGTCCGACCTCCCTAATTGACTTGATTCAGTGTGGGGCGTTTGGATGGATGTGAGAATGTGAACTTACTAGCTTGCTGCTTATCCTCGCAGTAGTTGGCCCTCCACGGGTAGTCGCACCCTTCGGTGACACCGCGGTGTTTGCCCGCGTAGACGAGACCATTGGGGCAGTCATAGAGCTCCGGCTGCCCGTTCACGCACTCCCAGTATCTGTCGCAGTAAGTGGCGTCCCCGACCACTCGTGACTTGGTTTTGCAAGGGTCCTCTTGCTGGTGACCTGATTTCAACTGCTGCCCATAACCTGCGCAAACCAGATAACGCTCCGTCAACGCTCACCGTCCAGACAAAACCATCGTATGATACTCAGAGGGAATCCATCGAGTTTAACAGAAAGGAATCAATTTTTTGGCTTACACGCAGGGGAAAAATCGTCGATCTTGCAATGTTCATAGTGGATTTTATGTTCAACTTACTTTTCTAGTCGTAATTACACTTTGAATTTTGGGATAACATATAGTTTGGTTCTGACAGCAATGCTGACGTGCTGAGTAAGAACGCTATGGGAGCCATCAAACGTTGCCAAATTTTCTTCGAAAAATCACGAAATTCTAGGGAAATTTGCGAATATTTCTTTTCCACTTTTTCACAGGCGTTCGTCCGTAATTTGAACTAAAAAGTCTGAAAAATTCAAGGAAAAATATCCGTAATTTCTTCAATAATAAATATTTTTAAAGAAGAAATTTTGCAACATTCGAATGCTTTTAAGGCGTTTTTATTAAGCATGCTGCGTCGTTACCGATATCGAAAGAGTGGTTACCTCAAAAGTAACATTGTAGTCAAAGCCAAAAAAGTAAGTTGGGCCTGGAATCCACTATGAGTATTAAGGAGCAACAATTTTCATTCCCAGTGCGTACGGGAAGAAAAGGTTACTAGGTTTAAGTATCTTCCCGGCTGCCATTGGTGCCTCGCATAAGTATGTATTTTTATGAACAAGTCCATTAAATTGGTTCTTTTTTGCTATACTCGGTAAAGAGATCTTTAAAAACAAAATCAAATTAAAAATAAGAAACAAAACATGTTATGGGAGGAGGTACAATGTTTAAACGGTAGTACCACGATTCACCTTTGCCTATTTATAACGGATGTTACGCTGATCAGTTAGTCGAGTATCTTTGTCAAACTAATCATTTTGCAATGAGCACATCTTTTATAATTTAATTTTATCTGCCAACAGGCAAACTTTGCAAATAGATCCTCGAGAGTAATTTTTACATAATGGAAATAAATGTTGTGATTGCACTCAATATCACCAAATTATGTTTTAAAGGTTTTGTTGCTTCCAGATCAACAGCATAAAATTAGACCGCACTTCAAGCACATAGTTTTTAAGCTCAACATTACCAGAATTACAGAGGATAACCGAGTATGATTTGAACGTACTTAGCCAAACGGAACTATGTGCATTATGACGTAAGCCCTGTTATGCATATATTCTTATGGGTATCAGGGCTCACGTCTTAATGCACATAGCTCCGTTCGGCAGAAATACGTCGTAATGCACATAGTTTCGTTCGGCAGGAATACGTCCAAATAATCCACTACGAGTTGGCAACATGATGCAGTCGTGAGTTTTAGGCGACCAGATTTGATGCCGGCGCAATTGACCTTGGAAGGACCCAAGGGGTGAGAGGGAACATATAGCTTGGTCATCCTCTATAGAAACTGTAACACATATTGTGTAAGCTTATTCCGTCCGACGAATTTGATAACAGCTACCGTAATGATTTTCAGCCCTTTTTGTCTTCGGAGCAGCTGTTGTAATCGATTGGATCTGCTGTCCAGCCACCGATCAGCCGGAGATTGAATTCTAATCAGGTATTTCAACTCGGGACCGTTTCCTTTGACTCATCCCAACCATTGTTCGGACTCCTGGCAAGAACCGTCCAACATTCACAGGGCGTTCAACTCCGTCTCCACGGCTTTAACTGCTATTTACAAAGCCTTCGCCAAGTCCCTGTCTGTAGTATGCGGTTCCTGAATCATGAATGCGATGCACGAGAAAAGTTTCCTCGATTTATAGCTTTATGAATTATCATCACTGCGAGTGCAGTTATTGGCATTCCTATTTATGGCTTGTAAACCGTTCAAGTCTCAAGTTTTGAGCGCTTCTTTGTTTGAGAGGTGCTCTTGCCAGACGTCTACAGTGTGCAACGTCCAAGCTTTGGTTGTAAGAGATGAGAGAGGGTAGAGCACCTTTAGAGGGAGAGTATGGACAACTAGAAAATTCGGAGGTTAGATTTAATCTGGTCATGTAGCTCTTGGAGCCCAAAAGGGGAGCAAACCTATAAACTCAAATTATCCAGTGGTTCTAATTTTTTCAACTCTTATACTCGTCGTTTCATAAATTATAAAAGCACGCATAAAACTTTGATTTCGCTTACATTCTCTCAGTTTCAAAGTGTTAATCCCTAGAGACGCTTGTTTGTAATGCGCTGTCAATATTGAGTAATCTTCCAAATGCATAGGTTGGCAGCGGCACTTTTCTAGCGATTTTCGCTTTTCACGTTGTCGCCTTTTTGGGCCCTAAGAGCTACATAAATCAAGTTGTCCATACACTCTCTATACAAAGGTACTCTAAGAGAGAGTTAGTTAGTTAGTTGTAACACTAACTATATAACTCTAAATATGTGGATCATTTGCCACTTTTCATGAAGATCCTAACATTATTCTTTGGGGTAATAATCCTTGGGGGTGTTGGTAAATATTGGATTTTTTTACATTTGAATATCAGACGGGATTAACTCCAGCATGATCACTGCATTCTTGAAAAACGCACGGAGAGTGTGCGTTGTACCCACGAATTTCTCGGGAGTTTTTGAATGATACTCGTATTAATAACCACAGAAAATGAATTCAAAGTTGTGCTTACTTAGCTCCTATTTGAGATGTTCGAGAATATCTCTTCCTCTGTGGACACACTTTGAACGCGCTTCGGACATTAGACCTAGGTGACGCCGCGATTCGTAATCCCTGTCATTATCAGTTCACGGCACAGGATACTAAACTTCATATTTAAAACTGAATTTTTCTCAAAATCAGGAAAAATCTTGGACATAGAATCTCCATTAAAATCAGCGATTTCTTCCGCAATTTTTTGGTCCAGCGGGTTAAGTTCCTTTCAAATAAGACTTGAGGGGTTCAGATGACAAGGTGCATAAATGCAGTTTTTGCTACTTTAAGATGCGCGAAATGTGTGTTTAAAGTTTCGAAATTGAATGGATCTCTATGGCGGAAAGAAAGTTCAAACTGACTTTTTGATGCTTAAAAAGTTGAATTTGAGAGCGGATTTTCCACAGAATATGCATTAAGACTAGTTTTACTCAGGGCAGGATTTAGGGGGTGGCCATCTAGGCCGCGGCCCATGGCGGCAAATTTAGGGGGCGGCAAATATTGCAATTTTTCTGAATACACATATGAAGAAAAATCGGATTCAGAAAAAAAATTACAAAAGAGGAAAGGTGACAAAATCTCTCATTTCCTGAGAGTATATCACTAATTTTGTCGTATTTCTGTGATATAATAGACAGCACCTTTAATTAATCGAGTTAAGACTAAGAGAGAACGAACACGGAATTTGGCCCGGAACGGCGCGGCGCAGAGAGCAATGATGACGAGAACTTGAGATGAAAAGACGAAACCCTCGGCGCGGCGGCGCGGCGGTTGGCATGTAACACATATTAGCGCCTACAAGACTGCATGCATACTTCACTCATTGCGTCAAAGACAGTGCGGTCGCTGCGGTTAGCAGCGGGCGGCGTGAAAGAAACGCATAGCGCCTACAAGACTGCGTGAATACTTCACGCATTGCGTCAAACACAGTGCGGTCAGCGCGGCGCGGCGGCGAAAGTTAAAATCATTAAACCACATTTATGTTTGTTCTTTCATAATTTTTTGGTTCATTTCTTATAAATGGAGGGCCTTGTCCATACAGGGATAGGTTTACGGAACTTAACTTTTGCGCCGAGTTCCGTGAATTTTTGCTAGTAGTTTTGACAGGACTTTCGCAAAAAATGTGTCCAACACGAGTAAACGCGTCTTATACACCCCTCCCCCTCCGGCACGTTCACCTGATGGTTTTTATTGATGTTTCAAAACGAATGAGAAGGGGGTGGGAAAATACAGGCGGCACATGGGCGGCAAGTAAGTAAATCCGGCCCTGGTTTTACTCGAAATCATTAATATTCTAATTTTTTTCAAAAACTGCACGTATGCGCGTTGTCCTCAAAACTCCTCGATTTCATTTTCATTTTCTGCATCTGCATGAAACCTATTTCCAGGCGTCTGCTCCAGACGCTTGCGCAGTCAAGACATAAATCACAGGGAAACGTCGCACAGTGGATCGAGCCAATAGGAGAGGTCGGACATTTTGAAACTTTAAACGCTTACAGCTCCGTCTATGCCGATATTTGAGGTTCTAAAAGTGCTTGGAAAATTTGCTTTGGTTTCCTCGTAAAATTTTCTTACCATAGCACCCCTTGCAATTTAAAGTGTGACGAGGTAAACATCAAAATTTGCAATTTTCAAAAATTTCAAGTCTGCCCTCTCGAATCGACTCTATCCACCGTGCGTCGGGCAATGCGTTACAATCTAACGATGAAGAGGTTGGCTTTAATAATAATAAAATCGGTTTTTGACATTGCAATGCAGCAACTCGGAGTCGACCGAAGTAATACGAGGGAAAACAGAAATGCTGGCAACAGTATGGGAGGTAAACGGCTTGCGGGCGAGATTTAAGTATCATCCTAAATGCACATTCGCATTGCGTAACCGGCCAAGATGCCTTGGTAACGAGCACATGCGTTGACGGAGGGACTTCAAAGAGAAAACACTTCTTCCTCGTTTCTCGCAACAAAACGGTACGCATGGCCTCTGTTCGCGGACCCATTTCACAAAATGATCTCCATCGGAATTTATGGTTCACTTTCTGCGCGACTCTGTTCCGGAACAGAAGAGAGCGCCCTCTGTTACCAATCATCGCTGCGAACTCTAGCAAGTCCCCTCTGGGATCCACCGCAATCGAAGCGGTCTGGCAACACCGTCATCTTCCCATTTGGGTCTTATTTTTTGGCAATTTAGGGCTAAATACCACGCTACTCCTGTCACATTTCGTTCAGGTCTCACAATTGGACCGCGTTTAACAGAAAGGAACCAAGCCACAATAGCTATTGCCAAATTTAACTGGGCAAGTAAATTTTTCACGAGAGAACGTTTGTGCGGATTCCTTTGAAAATTTCGAGGAAT